CTGGACGGCTCAATCAGTTAAGTGTTGGACTCTTGATTTTGGCCCAGGTCATGACCTCATGGGGCATGAGATCAAGCCCCACCTTGGGCTCTGCACTGACAGCATGGAGCCTGCTGGGGATTCTCTCTCCATTATTCATAATAACCAAAATGTGTAAATAACCCAAGTATTAGTTGACAAATAATACACACACACACACAATGGAATACTATTCAGACATAAAAAAAATATGGAAAATCTATCATTTACAATACCATGATTAAACACAGAGGACATTATACTAAGTGAAATAAGCCAGACACAGACAAATACTGTATGATCCTATTTATATGTGGAATTAAATTTTTCAATTATTTATTTTTGAGAGAGAGACAGACAGAGTGCAAGCAGGGGAGAGGCAGAGACAGAGACAGAATTCAAAGCAGGTTCCAGGCTCTGTGCTGTTAGCACAGAGCCTGTTGTGGGGCTCGAACCCATGAACCATGAGATCATGACCTGAGCCAAAGTTGGATGCTTAACTGACTGAGCCACCCAGACGCCCCATATGTGGAATTTTAAAAAGCCTAACTCAAAGAACCAGAAAATAGAATGGTGGTTGTCTGGGACTGAAGGGTAGAGGAAAAGATATCGGTTAAAGCATACAAACTTTCAGTTTCAAGATGACTAAATTCCGAGGTTCTTTTTATTTATTTATTTTACTTATTTTTAAGACTTTATTTGAGAAGACAGAGAATCCCAAGAATGTTCCGTTGCTGTCAGCAAAGAACCCGACATGGGGCCCGATCCCATGAATTGAGAGACCATGCCCTGAAGCTGAAGTTGGATGCTTAACCAACTGAGCCACCCAGGCACCCTAAGTTCTGAGGTTCTAATGCATAGTATGCTGATTATAGTTGGTAATACTGTATTGTGTACTTGAAATTTGCTGAGTAGATATTAAGTGCCTTAATACACACACGTAACTGCGTGAGGTGATAGATGTATTAATTAACTTGATTGTGGTAATCATTTCACATACGTATATAAGAATACCAAGGGGTGCCTGGATGGCTCAGTTGGTTAAGTGTCCGACTTCAGCTCAGGTCATGATCTCAAGGCTCCTGAGTTTGAGCCCCACATCAGGCTCTGTGATGACAACTCAGACCCTGGAGCCTGCTTTGGATTCTGTGTCTCCCTCTCTCTCTGCCTCTCCCTCACTTGCTTGCACTCTCTCTCTCTCTCTCTCTCTCAAAAATAAATATTAAAAAATTTTTAAAAACACAGATAAAGAATACTAAATCATCACATTGTACCCCTTAAAGAATCATGCTGTGCTACCTAAATATATACAATTTTATTTGTCACCAATACCTCAATAAAGCTGGAAGAAAAAAGAACAAGCATCTTTTTAATCTGTAAATTAGAAGCTCCTTTGTCAATGATTTTAGTTTTCATACATAAAGTTTAAGTTGATCATTCTAATATTTATGTATTGTTTTTAAAAAAAGGATTTTATTACAAAGATATAACCATAAAGTTAAGTTTTAATAGCAAAAATTATATTAAATAGGTAAATCTTTTACACACAACACAAAAGAGTTCTTTATGGAATGCCTACACACGATCTAATTCTCTATTTTCCTTGTAAGACATCTAGGAAAAGTCTTTAGTAGAATGGTACTAAGCAAATTGGTATGACAATTTCAATAGCATAGTGACAATCTCCAAAGTTCTTTCATTTTTAAAGGGTGAATAACAAAAGAAAAGTCAACGTGGAGTTAATGAAAAATTCTGCACCAAAAGAGGTTCATCAGCTCCACATGAAGAAAGGCATACCACTGAAAATTATTACCAGTAGTAGGAGTATTTCTTTCCACCAGTCATTGATAAAATAACCCAAGTCTAGTTGCTAAGTAAGAGAAGCTGGAAATAAAATTATTTACTATGGAGATGACTACAGTGCTTTCAAATTATATATGGAAAATGTACAGCTAACCTCCTCTGCAGAGTTGTCTATACTTGTAGACTCCAATCCCTCTCCTATTTTCTCTGCAAACCGGGTTTTAGACTAGGTTTTCTCCCTCACTGTTCTCCTGAAAGTGCTTCTGCATGATCACCAATGACCTTCGCGTTGCTAAATCCACTGGCCATTTCACCATCCTCATCTACAGGACTTCTCCAACGAGCAGGACACAGATGATCACTTTCTCCTTCCTGAAACACTCTCTTCACTTGGCTTCTAACACTCCACACTCCTATCTCCAAAGGCTTCTCCTCCTCAGGAAGATCTTAATCTCACCAATCATCTTTCCACAAAGCCCAGAGCTCAATCCTCTTTTCTTTAGACCAGATCTCGTACAATCTCATGGTTCTAAACACTATTTGCTAATGACTCCCAAATTTCTATTTCTTGTCAGGATCTTTCCCTTGAACTCCAGCCTCCTATAGCCTCATTTGAACAGGCATCTTAAATCTGACACATCTAAAACGAAACTCGTGATTGCCATCCCACTCACCTCCCCTTATCTCTCCACCCTCAAATCTTCCCCATCTCAGTAAACAGCAACTCCATCCTTCCAACAGCAGGCCAAAGGCCTTCGAGTCATGCTTCCTTCTTTTAGTCCCGCACTCCACATCCAGTCCATCCGTAAATTCTGGCAGATACCACCTGGTCTGAGCGCCCATCACCTTTTCACTTGGATTTCTGAACCAACCTCCTAACCAGTCTTCCTGCTCCATCCTTGCCCCAACAATTGATTCTGAACACAGCAGCCAGAGCGATCCTTTAAAAACATTGGGTCAGAGAGGCACCTGGGTGGCTCAGTTGGTTGAGCATCTGACTTTGGCTCAGGGCATGATCTCAGGGCTCGTGGGTTCGAGCCCCACATCAGGCTCGGTGCTGACCGCTCAGAGCCTGGAGCCTGCTTCGGATTCTGTCTCTGTCTCTCTCTCTGCCTCTCCCCTGCTCGCGCTCTATCTTGCTCTCTAATATAAATAAATGTTAAATTAAAACAAAAAAACAACAAAACAATGTTGAGTCAGATCCCCCAACTCCTCTGCTCAAAACCTTCCACCCACTCCCCTCCTCACTCAGAGAAAAAGCCAAGGTCTTTACCAAGGCCAGTTTAGCTCTCAGATCCCACCCCAACCTCCCTCACTCTGCTCAAACCTGCTGGCCTCCTTTTGCTGGTCCTCCAGTAAGACTGACAGTTTCTGGGCTTCAGCACCTGCCTGGTATACTCTTCCCTAGATAGCTCCAAAGCTGTCCCTCACTCCCTCAGGTTTTGTTCAAAAATCTTCTCCATGACGCCGTTCCTTATTTTAAAACTACATCTGTTTCTTCTCTGGTTCTTCCTATCCCCCTTCCCTGCTTTATTTTTCTTCTTAGCAACTGTTACCATCTGACTGGATATATTTTATTTTAATTCTTAAAAATTATTTTGTTTAGGGGCACCTGGGTGGCTCAGTCAGTTAAGCATCCGACTTCAGCTCAGGTCATGATCTCGCGGTTCGTGAGTTCGAGCCCCGTGTCGGGCTCTGTGCAGACAGCTCTGGGTCCGATTCTGGGTCTCCCTGTCTCTCTGCTCCGATTCTGGGTCTCTCTGTCTCTCTGCTCCTCCCCACTCACACTCTGTCTCTCTCTCAAAAATAAATAAACATTAAAAAAATTTTTTTTTAATTATTTTGTTTATTGTACCCACCCGCACATTCCTCCAGTGGAAAGTTAGCTCCATGAGGACAAAGATTTTCCTTTGTTCACTCTTCCATCCCCAGTGTGTAGAACAGTGCCTGGCCATGGAAGGCACTCAATATACAGTTGCTACAAGAATGCTGAATACGCAAACTCTTGGGTCCTGATAAGGCGAAGGGATTTGGGAGACGATAATATCCAACCTCTCTCCACATGGGAAATAGGACATCCCTTCTGACGTTCATAGGAACTGTGCAAAGTCTTAATCCTTTACAGTAACTCAATGTGTTCTAAACATGGCAAAAATCTCTTCATTCTCTTTACTCCAGTCTCTCTCCAATGCCTTTCCTCCATCCAGTAAGAGATGAACTTACTGTCATCGAAAAATCTCTCATTTCCCTTCAGCACTACTATCATAATATTGCAAAGGCAAAGCGAACGCATTCAAAATGGTATCGAAATACAAATAACGAAGAGAAGTAATTAAGTGCATAGACAACCAAATAAACCCAACTCTATTCCAAATCAAACTGCACTGGGAACGATGAGCTTAACTTATTATCCACTGTAACCTTTAATGAGCAAACAGTTTTCTCATGAAACTCCTTTAAAACTAAAAAGAAGCTGGTATGGGGCCCTTGCTCATAGCCATGAAAATTAAGCCTGAGAGAAACCAGTTCAGGCTACAAATCAAATCAAACATGTCTAGAACATGCCTGGACAGGTGACAGGTACAGAAGCAGAACACTGGAGTAAGGCAGATGAGGCTCAAATCCCAGCTCACTCTTGTCTAGCTGTCTGACCGGCGACAAGTTAACTCAGACTCTCCGTGCTCGGTTCCTTGTCTGTAAACTGGAAATGGAACTTCACAGGGTTGCTGCAAGAGGTATTAGGTATTTCGAACACTCAGCACAACGTCTGACACATAGTAAGCTCGGAAGACAGTTATTACTAGAATTCCTATACCACTGATACTATAGCTAGGAGCTCCTCGGTACCATTGTTATTCTTTAGTGAGAAGTGTTACTATTCAATGGTGTTCTGTTGTTTTTTTTTTTTTACCTAGTGATGTTCAGTAGCCAGTTTTAAAGAATGAATGTATCTTTTCCTCGAGGCAGAGCACTGTATTGGATAACCTGGCGGGTAAAGCACCTGCTTCCTAGCATTGCACATTAAAAGGCAAATGCTGTCTTTAAACACGGGGCCATGTGCCATTCTGGACCGCTCACTCACACCGCAACAGCTGTTTACGCCTAGACTGCAGGGTCCTTACGACCAGCCACGTCGCGCGGTGCGCAAGTCGCGACAGCACGCGCTGGGTCCCGGCGCAAAGGCGAAGAGCCGGCGAAGGGCTGCGGCTCAGACAGCCCGATTCATCGCGAGCGGGCCCCGCCCCAGGCCCGCCCGCCGCGGGCCGCACACCCGGGCTGCCTCCTCCTGCGGACTGTCACGGCCTTTACCCGCAAGAGCAAACAAGAACCCTCGCCTCGCAGGCCTTTCCCAGCCCCCACGGGCGGCACGGCCCAGAAGGAAGCCAACACGGACCCGCGACGCCCCGGTCTGGCTCCCTCCGGTCGCCGAATAGGGGCGGGGGCCCCGGGCCGCCTCCCCCACTCACTCCCCAAAGCCCGTCTCCCAGGCCCCCGGCCGGGGCTCTCCGGTACGTCGGGGCCGGCAGGGGAGGTGTCAGCGGTTCCGTCCTGGGGCCGCCTACGGGCCCCGGTCCAAGTACCTTCGAACAGGCCGAGCACCGGCGGCGGCGGCTGCAGCTCCAGGCTGAGGGAAGGAGAGGGGCGGGCCACCGAGACAGGCGGAGCCCCAGTTGTGCCAGAGCGGCCTCACGCCGCGTCGGTCGGCGCGCCCTCTGGAGGCGGGAGGCCCCCTCAGCGGCTCGGCCTGCCCTGAGCTAGAAACTCGGAAAAAACCCTCTCTCCATTAACTGCGCCTGGAGAGGAGAATGACAACCTCAGAAGAGGCTTTTCAGACCCGAGTCCAGGAGCATTTCGCACTTTTCACGTCTTTTTCTAAATATACATCCCACCTCCAGCTAAGTGAAGGCTTCAAAGCAAGGACAGTTTTATTAAAAGCTGTAGGCATCAACTAATACTCACTGGCTTCTGGGTAAGTCTAATGTAATAACCCAAATGGGCATAGTCGTGACTGCTCTAATTCTAAAATATGATGCGAAGTTGTTGTTTGTTTGTTTGTTTTTTTCTCAAAAACGGTTTGAGTATTTACATCCCACTTTTCTAAGATTCCTGGACTAAATGCAACTTGTATACAGCCAAAACTCATTGAAAATGTGGTGGGTGGTGGGATGGTTAGAGATTCATTTACTGGGAACTTAAAAAAAAATACATACACACACACACACACACACACACACACACACACACTCAGCTGGTTAAACGACTGACTCTAGATCTCAGCTCAGGTCTTGATCAGGATGGTGAGTTCAAGCCCAGGGTGGGTCCCGCATCTGGGACTTGGAGCCTACTTAAAAAACAAAAAGAATAAAAATTTAAAAAAGAATTATGATTTCAAGGCATTTCACATTTTCTTGTGCATTAACTACCAATGCATTAACTACTCTTTGAATTGATGACATTTATTAACCACTTCGTCATGGATGTCTTCCTTGTGGTTTGGGTTGAGTTTAAAATACCTTCATCGATGCCTGTAAATTGTGCCAAATCAGGAAAGAATTTAAATCTTTTCCCAGTGTGTTCACAGAATGCACTTCTCTTTATTAATTGGTTTACCAAACAATCGGAAAGCCCATTTATTACTTCTTTTCAAACTTATTCCCTCCCCTTTATGAATTACTGCCTTTGTTTGACCTGAAAAAATGCAGGGACTGTGCAGACAGCCTTTTTTCTCTGATGAGGTTAAGGGAATGAAATGTGTGCTACACATATTCTGTGAATCTTCCCTGTCACTACACCAGGGGACATCAGCAGATTGGTCATTAGGAGTGCTCAGAGAATCCATTCCTGCACTCCCAATAAGTTAATGCTGCACATGACCATGAACCCATGAACCTGTCCTATTAAATGCAAACCAAAGTATCCCCAGCTGCATTTCTGCTTAGCAAGAGCCCAAAAATGTCTGTATTCACTCCAATGTTACTCACCCAGAGAAGAGAGCCTTGGGAAGTCTGAGTGGAAAAAGACAGCAGTCTTTATTGTAGTTAAAATCTTTTAATTTTGCAAGCTTTACAGAAATGTTTGACCATGTGTACATACTTCCAGAGTTCCTACCAGGGTCTTGGAAGGGACCTGGATAAGGGAGAGGGGAGGCTGTATTCCATATTGTCACTGTAACAAAGCATCACAAACTCAATGACCTAAAACAACACTAATTCCTCATGTTACAGTTCAGGAGGCCAGAAATCCAAAATCAGTTTTATTGGGCTACAATCAAAGTGTAGGCAGGGCTGCATTCCTTCTGGAGGCTCTAGGGAGAATCTGTTTCCTTATCCTCTCCAGCTTCTAGAGGCAGCCCACATTCTGTGGCTCGTGGCCCCTACCTCCATCGTCAAAACTAGCAATGTAGCATTGTTTCTCCTTCTGTCCTCTGCTTCCATTCTTGCGTCTTCTCTAACTTTGACCCTCTTGCCTTATTATAAGGGCCCTTGGCTTACATTGGGCCCACCTTGATAATCCAGAATCTCTCCATCTCAAGGTCTTTAACTTAATCGAATCTGCAAACTCCTTTGTACCACACTAGGTAACGACATCACAGGTTCTGGGGATTAGGACATGGCCATCTTTGAGGGGATGTTATTCATCCCACTACAAGGGCTCTGGAGCTCAAACTCTATTCCCTTCAGGTGAATCTGCCTCTTCTTCCTCATTACCAAAATCTGTTTGGTCCTGAGTTCTGATTGTGAGACTTCGTTGGGGAGAAATACCTGTAATTACAACTGGGATAAGCGTTACGGGGGCAGAGAGAAGAAATGCTGTAAAAAAGACAAATAGCATGGGACCTAATTTAGGTGGAAGGGCAGCGATACCTCTGAAGAAGTAATGTTTCATCTGAGACACAAAGAATGAGGAGGAGTTGATTATGCAATGAACAAAGGGAGTGTTCCAGACAAGGGAGTAGTATGTGTGGCCCAGGAGTGGTGATGTCAGAAGGTCAGCATGGGGGTGCCTGGCTGGCTCAGTCAGCAGAGCATGCAACTCTTGATCTCAGGGTTGTGAGTTCAAGCCCCACGTTGGACATGGAACCTACTTTAAAAAAAAAAAAAAAGTTCGGTGTGGCCAAATTGTATACCTACCATTGAATCTCCTTAGCACTAACACCGTGGCACATAGTAGGTGCTCAATAACATTAGCTTAGTAGTTCCCAGCCCTGGCAGCACATTACGGTCATTGCAGGAGCTTAAAAACACCTAGCCGAGACCAAATAAGAAGCGTTTTGAAGCATAGACCTGGCATCTGTATTTTTAAAAGCTGCTCAGGGAATTCTACTGTGCAGCCAGAGTGCAGACTTGAGAACCACTCTGTCACGTACAACTGAGTGAATGAATGAATGAATGAATGACAGAGAACATTTGCTTGGCATAGGATTTTCTTTTAGGTGGTTTGCTTCTGGTTAGGGCAAAAAGGAGTTTGGGCTATATTGGTGGTATATTAGGATCCAGTCTTAGAAAATGCAGAAAGGGCTTTCAAAAACATAATTGAACGCCTATCAGAAGAGACTCAAAGTGATCTAGCAACCATCCCCATGTAACCAATTGTCTCCGTAGAAAAGAGATGTGTTGGAATGGGAAGGTGTTTCAAAAACACACCCTACCTACAAAGGAAGAGGAACTTCTACTTGTTGAACTTTAATGTTCCAGGTTGGTTTTTTTGTAGTACTAATGAATGGCCATCAGAGGGAGACGTGCTCCTGTAAGTGTTGCTTCTCCGGGTCGCCCATCTCTGACACCAGGCTAGGGAGAGAATCAGGTATTTTTAACAACACTGCGGTTTCTCAAGGATTAACCATTGAATGACTAAGTCACACACAGGGTATGAGGCATGTAGCATATATTTGTCTACACCAGAGTAAGATTCATTTCGGTTTCCCAACAGTTTAAACACTGAAACCACCAGAAAAAAACAAAAAACAAAAAAACAAAAAATGAAGCGTACACGTATGCCAGGCATTGTGTTTGCACCACTGAGGAAAAAATTTGAAGCCTAGTAGAATAATCTGTTCCTCCAGCAACGAGCACAACTAGAAATTAAGTGTGTAAGCAAAACTTTCTGAAAGGAATCTCTCTCCCTTTATTCATTTGCAAAGGAAACATCTTAGATCTTGAATTTCTGGAGTTACTAAGAGTTGCACCCCTGGAAAGAAGAAAAGAACTTGGCTTCTTGCTACAACAGCGATTTGCTGTTTTTCTTTGCACTTATCCACACATGCCGGAACCACACGGATTTTCACACATATATTAGACGAAATAATGTATGTGATGGGAACGTATATAGTGCTTAGTCCTGATGAAGCTTCCCTTCCAAAAGTTAAGGAGCTGATCATTAGTAAGGGAATACCTTCTGCAAGGGTTTAAGCAAGTGAATTGCTTTGCAAAGCCTTTAAAAATGATGTGGAGCACCTGGGTGACTCAGCTGAGCATCCAACTCTTGATTCGGGCTCAGGTCCCGATCCCAGGGTTGTCGGATTGAGCCCTGCATCAGGCTCCACACCAGGCGTGAAGTCGGCTTGAGATTCTCTCTCTCCCTCCCTCCCTGCGGGAGGAGTCCAGGAAGTGAAGGTGTAGAAGGGGGGTATTGAAGCATCAGATAAAATGTCACAAACTTGTCTGCCTGAGGATTCTGGATGCCAAGCATGGCTTGGGTCTCTCTGAGGTGGGCTCCCCAAGGGAAAGCTCATGGAGAGGTCTATGCAGGTTGATGCCTAAATAACTACTGCTTCTGTGAGTCCCCTACCAAGCATCTGGTGGTGGGCCCAGGGCTAGGCAGGGCCAGTAGGCAAGAAGAGGAGCTAGATACAGAGTGGAGGGGGGCAAGGACGAATTAGAAACTGTGGGTAACTTCCCATCTGCATGTCATTGTACCTGATGGTGAAGAGACCCTCAGAAGGTAATGGCTGCTCCCTTGCTTTGTCTCCCAGTCCTCATAAAAACCCCCCTTTGGGTTAATTCTAAACTGTAACCATACAGGAGAGGGAACTCTGGGAAACATAGTTCCAATTTAACCAAGTTGATAAAAAAAAAATCAGTACACACATAGGCTCTTATAACTAATTTTGCAGATAAGAAAACTAAGGGCTGTTGAGTTAGATAATTTGGCTACGCTCACATTGCCAACTAAAAGCAGAAGCAAGCTCAGAATTCAAGTCAGGAGTCGTCTTCCACTCCACTGTCATGCCTCTCTTCCTTTGTGGTACTTAAATGCTCTTAAGTATTTCAAGAAAATCCTAGAAAAATTTCAAGCATCACTTCTGAGTTCCCTTCGTAGGTCAAGAGTCTGTGGGTAAGTAGCCTGCACGTCATCACTACACATAAATCAGACTGTCTCGATTCCATTAATCTCTGGGCACCTGGGTTACAAGGGCCTTATGGTGAGGAGTCAGGCCTGTGACCGCCAGATCTCAGTCATTGAGTAATGAGTTATGAGCTCTTAGGCATGGGAAAGTCGTATCTTACTTGGGATGTAGGGATTATGTGCAAACCTAAGAAATGATCTCCCAGAGAGCACCGCTGGGTGTCATTGGAAAAGTCAATAAAAACTCTGCAGAGTGCACAAGAAATGACGGCGTCCAACCACGTCTATGATCACTTATTTTACACTTCAAAACAAGCACTAGAAACTCAGAAGTCAATAGGTTTATGCATTTTTTCAGAAGCGGGCAAAGAAAGGCAATGGAAGATATCGAAAAGCTCACAACCCAGGCTAGCCTGGCTTTTTCCTCCTTCCTTTTCTGGTCCCAAATTTCCTTCCTAACCTTTTAATATTCCCACTCCCGAGAGACATGCTGGTTCAGGGTTTGTTAAGTGTGGGCAAAGGAGAAGCTGAGGAAGGGTTCCTGCTGGTCCAGATACATACTGGAACCAGCCCTGAAACATACTCCAGGGAATGAGCATTCTCAGAACTTGCCACGGTTCAGCT